TGGAGTTGTGATCACTGATCAGGTGAAATACACGTAAGGAAAGCATAGCAGAAAACTTCTCAAATTAAGTATGAGGTGCCTATTTAAGGAGAGATTATTACGTGCGGACATCAAACACAATTTACTGTCCATAGGCAAATTAGGTGCAGTCACATCATTCAGTACTGAGCAGTACCGAGCTCGGTACCGATCAGTACTGAGCCGCGGTACCAAGTTGGGGGTGACATGGCGCATTTTCATTGAGCTCCGGATGGCGTTCGGTGTCCGCATAGAATAATTCATTAGACCCCTAGCTATAACACTTTTAAAGGTTTCGTTTAGAACTGCTTTCTTATTACTTCTTAAAGCAACTTTTTAGTGTAAAAATTAAATATTTTATACTAAAAAACTTCATTAAGAAGCAATAAAAAAACCATCCCAAGCAAATAAAAACTTCAAAAATTATCAAAATCCGTCAGAAAATTCGTCAAAAAATCTATTTGAAAATTAGTCAGAAATATTTCATCGTTGATACGTTATCAAAAAATTATCTTGATCGGGCATGAATCTCGATGCAAAATCAAGTTGGAAACTTCCGAAATTAAAATTGGGACCATCCGAACTCCGATTTCAACAAACTTACAGTCGAACTGAGCATCTCGAAAATACAAACCCAACAACACCAAAGTCGACTCAATCCAAGCCCAAATGAGTCCAAATTAAGGACCTGAAGCATTGTTAGAAGCTTCGTACCACAGTTTGAGTTACCAAATGGTTTTCAAACATGAAGAGCTTATAATCAAATCGAGCAACTCGACGAGACAAATCCAACAAGCCCAAGATCACCAAATTCTGAAATCATCAAGACCTCCAAATGTCTGATGAACGGTCCATGATCAAGGGATTCAATATCGGTCGTCCATCCAACCACTCCACATTTACCCCTGATCTCTCACCTATTTATGAGTCATGTCACTCCAGAAAAACTAGAAATAGACCCCTCATTTCTCTTGAAAGGGGATCCAAGCATGAAGAGAAGGAGGAAGAAGAGAAGAAAGAGAAGGAAGAAGCTCCTCCTCGACCACCGCCTGAGCTTTGCTGGACCACCACTTGAGGCCATCACCTTCGCCAGACCACCGCTGGAGGCCCTCACCTTCGCCGGACCACCGCCGGAGGCCCTCACTTCCACCGGACCACCACTTAAGGCCCGCACCACCGCCTGACATCGTTACTCCGCCAAACCACAACTTGAGGCCCTCACCTCCGCCGAACCACCGCTTGATGTCGTTGCTCCGCCGGACCACCACTTGAAGCCCTCACCTCCACCGAACCGCCACTTGAGGCACTGTGCTCCACCAGGACACCACCTGAGGCCCGGACTTCTGCTGGGCCACCACCTGATGCCCAGAGTACTGCCCTACTACAACGGACTTTCTGACCCCGGTCTCCTGCTGACTACGTTCCTTCTACTCCGGCGGCTACTATGTTCATTTCGACCTCCATCAACATACAATGGTCTTTCTGACCCCGGTCGATCTTCTGCCGACTACGGTCCTTCGGCCTTCGTCGCCTACTATGATCCTTCCGACCTACATCAACAGACAACAGTCTTTTTGACCCTGATCTCCTGCCGACTACGGTCCTTCCGACATCCGTCACCTACTATGGTCCTTCCAACCTTCATCACCAGACAACGATCTTTCCGACCTCCATCCCATCGACTATGGTCGTGCCAACAAAATAAACACATCTATTGTAACTCCCACCATGTAATGCACTCTATATGATGTACATTTGATACATCAAGCCAAGGCCTTCTCCCAAGGAAGGGCCTCATTTGTAATCTGCTGTAAATACTAGTGGATTCATTCAAACTGGGCTAGACCCCGTGGTTTTTCCCCTTTTCAGGGGTTTCCACATAAAAGCTCTGGTGTCTCTTATAAACGCTACACCCTCTCACTTATCTGATTGTGTGCTGGATCTTCGTACAATACTAAGTCGTTAAACTATATATTTCTCTACCGCCGCGAATACTCCAGGACGCAACAATCGTAATCCGTCAGAATTCCGACGAAAAATAATCTTTCGGAAATCCACTAGAAAATCCTTCGATGATGGACAATTTTTCTGCAATGCATACCACTTTTTGAATATCATTATTAGTCATTTTGTTAACTAGAGCAATAATTTTCTCATATTCATACCGTATTAATTATCAAAACATCATTTTTCTGCGCGCTCAGTAAAATCATTTGCTTTAATTACAAATACAAGCTCAGATGCAAGTTGAATTATGGAGAGCGACAAAAGGGGGGAGTAATTGAGAAAAACAAGGATATAGAGAAGGATTAGATTTATATTTTTTGTTTATTATATGTTAGTTTATAATGTTAAAAATTTGGACTTTTGATCTTATAATATTTTTTAATGTAATGAGATATGTTTTCAAATTGTTTTTTTTTTAATGGGAGATTTACATACATACCACATTATTTTATGCTATTTACATATCTAAAACCCAAAACTTTAATATTACATTCTTAATACTCATATAAAATTTTAATATTAAATATATCACTCATATATTTTATTTTTACCACTTATATCACCTCACCCTATAAACTTTAATATGTAAATCCCTTTTTTGTTGATAAAATCTAAAAAGCACTTGCATATTAATTCAAAGAAAATATTACAAGAAGATGTCACTTCGGGGTTTCGCATCCTTCTGGTGCGGGCACTCTCAAGGAAGCCTCCGCCTCCTTTGTTTAGTTTATTTTGTGTGTGATTTTCTCTTCGCTTTCTAGGTTTTCCTCCTCCGGCCCTTGTGGCTGGGATGGCAGTGAAACCTTGGGTGGACCCTAGTTTTTTGGTGGGGTCGACTAAATCATGCTCTTTTGTGAAAGTTTTGTCTGGTTATGCCTCTTATGCTTAGTTTCGTGATCTCAAACCCTCTTCGTTTCTTGGAGAGGTTCTCGCGCTTGCAACTCCTTTACAGTTCACATTGGTTGGTTGTTTTCCCTCTCGGCATCCGAGTCTCGATGCTATTTGAAAGTTTTTCTTTGCTCTTAAGCTTAATGGTAATTTTTCTGTTACTTTGATGGATCAATATCATGTGTTGATTAAGTTGGTGAATGACTTAGTCTATAACATAGTTTTTTCTTTTAGATCATATTTTGCCAACAATTGTTACACGAAGTTGATCAAATGGTCTCCTCTTCTTGATATTGGTATGAAGTCTCTTATCATACCTATATGAATTTCTTTCCCCAACTTGCGACCACATTTTTTTCACCCTGTATTCTTCATGGATTGAGTTCCTTATTTGACTGTCCACTGAAGGTGGATCATGCGACCTATGTTGGCTATTCCGTCCCTCTGTTGCACGTGTGTTAGTCGAGCTTGACATTACTAGAAAAAATTCTGATAAAGTTTGGATTGGTCATGAAAAGCTTGGTTATGTTTGGCTAGCATGTGGTGATTGAGGAGTTTCCCCATTTGTGCCCAATGTAAATCGATAGGTCATTTGTCGGGTGATTGTCGTTCTTTTTAATACGGTATTTGACTCGGTTATTCATGAGATTGGTGTGGACAGTGCTCTTGTTATGGATAATGGCAATGATAACTTTGAGGACGTTGTTCTTGTTGCAAAGACAGGGTTTGATGTCTTGCATGCGGTTCATTTTTCTTGAATTGATGAGGGTGTTGTGGTGGTTGAGCCAAACCCTGGTTTAGGCCATTTGGTAGCTTGCCCTATTGCTTTTCCTATCTCTAATGTTGTTTTGGTTTCTGTGTCGAACTCTTGTTTAGTCAATTTGGTAGCTAGTCCTAATGCCTCTCCTGATTTTAATGTTGTCGGTGTTGGTGAAGTTGCAGTTTTTCACCCTGGGGACCGTGAGTTTGACTTCCCTACTGCTGCGAGTGGTGAGGTTCATCTAGTCTCTCCCGTTTGTTCTTGTGAACATTTTCCTGATGGTGTGGAACTTGAGGCTGAGGATGTGCCTATATTTGTTATTTCTAATAATGCCTTGTTAGCTCACCTTGCTTGTAATTCGGGAGATCATGGTGATTGGTTAGATGATAATTCTTCAGCTGGTGGGGAGGGAATCTTCTTTTTTTGTAGGAAGTATGTGCTGAATGATATTAATTTTTGCTTCCTTTTTTGGGTGTTATCTTCTTGCAGCCCTAGACTGTTCCTAGGCTTTTTTTGTACTCTTAGACTAAGGAATCACCGACTCTTAGATTTTTTTTTTCTCTTGTAGCTCTTTTGAGCATTAGAGAGCTGGAGGTTCCTTCTAAGGATCTTGTACCCCCTTTTTGATATTAACGCGTAGGACCCCCTGTGAGTTTTAACCATTAAAAAAAATATTATTCAAGTTGCTGACGATGATTTTTTTAATAAGATTAGTAGATGTAGACATCGTAAATCCAAAAAAAAAAAAAGAGTTTTCTTTTTGGATTTGGATGTCTTTTTGTTGTTGGGATCTCTTTGGTGGGGTTGTCTTGTTCTGTTGAAGTTTTATGGTTGTTTTGGTGGATAGGTTGGTAGTTTTGGTTGGTGGCTTGCCTTTGCGGTTTTTGACGGTTTGGGCAATGATGTGACGACTTTCTACTCACCTCCTGCTCAGTTCTAGCTTGTTGGCAACCATTGATAGTGCTTCCTCTACTTCTGTTTGCATCATCATTGGTTTGGACTGCTGCTTGCTTCCTTCTCTGGATGGTCCTTGCCTAGCTCTTGGGTGGTTGCATATAGCTTCTTGCCAACAACTGAGCCCAAATTGCTTTTATCTTTCATTTTTTGCTGTCTATTCTTTATGTTGCAGCATTGTATTTTATCTTTGTCCTTTGTTGATCTTGTTTGTATCCTTCTTCTATTAATGTAATTTTATATTTTGGAAAAAAAAAAGAAAGATAAGATTACAAGAATCCAATAAGTATATTTTTGCAGCAATTTTTTACCGTTGAAGTTGGTTAAAGAAAATGATGTGCTTGCCTTCTGCATTTCTACAATAAGATACCAATTTTCTTACAAGATGACAGAATAAAACTCGCATTAATTTAAAAAGCTTTAGAAGATTACATAATGTTGCAGCCCTGAAAGAACATACAGATGTTTTTTTAGGATAACTAATCTCTAATTTTCTTCATTAATAACTAACATGCTTTAAGCTGCATTCTTCCTCTTAGCTTCAAAACAAGGACAAAATTCACCCACTTTGGTTTCTCAGTTAAGTGAGTCGTAATAATTTTTGCATATCGAAAAAATAGATTAGCAATAGTTTCCTTGTCAAAATGAACATTAAGAAGAGGCTCTACAGCTGCTTGTATGTACTTCACCACAATTTTCCCTCTTAAAATATAATCAGGCTGTAAATTATTCAGTTCGTCTTCAAAAGGATCCCAACTTGACTCGAAAGTTTCGACATTGTCAAGATAAAAGAACCCTTCTTTTTGATCAATAATGGATTTCAATTCCTCTATAGTTGGTGCGTAATATGGAAAATTGATGGCATTTCGATCTGCTTTTCTTGCAAGTCCCTAAGAAAATCAGAGTAAATGTTATGAAATTTGGAAAATGAAACAAATCATAACCGTAATTGTAATGCCCCTGAATTAAATTTGAAAGAACTGTTTATTTATCATTTTAAGAAACTCCGCATGCAGTTAAGTGTGCTCATCCCGGAGAAATTCTAGATGGCTGAAATCCTGGGAAGTAACACCACAAGGATAAAACTATGAGATCCTTAAGCTAAAACAGACAATATCTCAATAGTTAAGAGTTTGGGTTGTTACAGTATCAGACAAATACATATATGTATATAATGATCATTCATTAAAAAATATTGATAATTTATCAATTTTTGATAATCTATGATTGTTATAAGCAGTTAACGACATGATTATAATGATCAATTATTAAAAAAAAAATATTGATAGTTTATCAAATTTTCATAATCCATGATTGTTATAAGAAGTTAAGGACATGATTACCGAATTCTATCATTTGTAAGAGATTCAGAATTAAAAGAATAAGATAATTTCTTACCTCAGAAATCATATCATTTAATGCCAATCTTAAAAGCCCCAACATATAGAACGAATCTTTATACTCTGAATTATTTACTCTTCCTGCAATTGTTAGCACCATTCTTCCTCCAAAAATTAGTTCTTTGGATCTTAATTTAAGGAAGGTTGAAAAATCCTCTTTGAATTGTTCCGAGTACAAATTTTCCTTCTTCAGTTCATCAAAAGTGCTTTCATCATCAACCATTCTTGGCACCTACATATTCTTGTTAGTTTAAGCACAATTATTGTATGAATGAGGATGCAAAGAGTTTTGATATTTCAAATAATTATATTTAAATTTCTCTTATGTATCATTACTGCGTCCAATCTAATTTTGTTCGTGTCCTACGTTGCAATTTGTAGCTAATTTGAAAAAAATTAACTAACCTGTGAAAGCCACATTTGACTATAAGAAGAGTGAAAGAAATGAACGCTCTTAGAAGGAAAAAGCCGAGTGTAGAATGATCCTGGGGATCCAGCGACATAAAATGGCACAACGTTCTCCCCCTTGTCCTCCTTAATTTGCTTCTTATAATCCATCAATGAACGAAAGATATTGTTGAAATCATTTCCAGGCAGATCATTCAAAAATATTTGTATTTCTGATTCATGGCTGATATCTAACCGTCGACTAAGGTCATGGATAACGCTAATGATCTCAGAGATCACCAAAAATGTGTTGGGGCCCGACGAGCAACCCAAGTCAGCTGCTACAAATTTCATGGGGAAAAGAGTTCTATAGACTTCTCTTATAGCTTCTTCTACTATTGGCTTTGCTTTCAAAATTACCTTTGCCTGTTGAAAATGACAAGGTCATTAGTATTACTGGATATTAATGCTAATTATTTAAAATTACGTACTTGAACAATGGAGTTTTTAGCATAGCTTGTCTCTCCAGTTCCTCCCACCATATGCACAATTTGTTCGACCTTAGCGGAAAGAGGTTTTTCCCCCATTTATGGTTATTATTGTACTGCCGAATCTCTTTGAAATCTCGTTATGATTCTCTTCTTTATTCTTCACTTCAGCTTTGACTGGTTCTCTAATGGTGGCCTGAACCTTATATGCTTCTTGCTAATTTGCAATGGTAAGAATTTGTATCAAGAGGGGGTTAATATATTATATATATACAGATATATTCGAATTACAATAGAAGGGATATACTTGGGCCTGTTTGGATGCAGGATTTATGCCGGATTTAAGCAAGGCTTGAGCTAAATCCTGCCAAACGCCAAGAAAAAGCAAGAGTTAAATCTCACTGTAAGTATAAATTTCACTTCACTGCATTTTCGGCCTTTTTCTACTAAATCCCGGCCCGGATTTCTTCAATCCGATAGATTGGCGGATTTAAGAGATTTTGATCAAGAAACTGCACAGAAGGGGTGTATGATCGTTACCTTTGCAGCGAGCGAGCTACAGTTGTTATTTCCGATCCGACATAGTCGAACTATGGCGACTTCCAGTCCAACAGGAAGGATCGTCGAAGGAGGCGAAGAAGCTAGCGCCTCATGCAGGAAAAGTCGAACAGGTTGAAGGAGGCGAAGAAGTTAGCGAAGTCGAACGGCAACGAAGCTGTTGAAATGAGTAAAAACAAGCCGTATTCAGGCGCAAGGAGAGATTGCCTAGAGGCAATGGCATATATAGAAGAACTCCTTATTTTTAATTTGGAATTATTTTAATTAATTTATAATATAAATAATTAATTAGATAATTAGTGGTACAAAACTTAATCAAATAAATAGTTTAAAATATAAATGTGATTGTATAAACACATTTTCATGATGAAATGAAAGAAATTTTTTAGACGAATTTATTTTTTCAATGCTCGATTTGCTTCAGTAGCACTATGGAATTTTGTTGTTTTAAAAGTTTAAATTAGAAGATTAAATTGGAAAAAATTTCAAAATGAAATCTTAAAATTTATCTGCCATAAGTCAACACAATAAGACTTATCTATTAACAAGTCATATCCAAGAGAAATTATTACGTGTGTAGTTCGGATGCGTCCGGACTCCAATAAAAATACTACATGCATGTGTTCTTGTAAACTCTACACACTATGCACATATTACAAAATTATGTACATAATGTATAAAAACTTATATACATAATATACATACAGTGTGTACAAAATTTGTAAACAATGTGTACAAAAATACGTGTCACATTTTTATTGGAGTTCGGACATAACTCTACGTCCAGACTCCGCACGTAATAATTTCTCCATAACCAATGAGGTTGTGAAAAATGTCTTTAAAGCGAGAGATTATTCTGTGCAGACACCGGACGTAACTCTAAGTCCTGACTCCACAATAATAATTTTCAGTGGTTATGGGTCCATTTTATTCTAGTGTGAGTGAGGCACATATGCAAGCATTATGAGAGACATAAGTGAGGCATGATTTGAAGTAACATGATCATCATGATTTTAACTCTTAGGTTTGGTGATAATCACAATTATAACTTAGACTAATTCCTAGTTTAGTTTACCTTCCATGCTAAAAGGATATTAGACTTGTAACAATAATATCTACTTTTACAGTAAATAGAATACCTATGACTCGAATAGGATCTGATTTTTATTTTATTTTATTTTATTTTTGACTCGAATAGGATCTGATGAGAATTATAAATGTGATTAACTTTATTGATATTTAGAAGATTGAAAAAGAGATTTAGGAATTTAATTTGGAATGAAAATTGATAAGGATTGAATTTCCCTTGAGGTCACAATAGCAACTAAACTCACTGTATAATGGAAAAAAAATTGAAGCTCTTAGAGTGCTGCCTCTAAAATCTTAGAGGAATTAATAGTTTTTTTTTTTTTTAGTTTTGGGCCAACCACAAAGTTAATTTGATTAATTTTTTGGAGTTATATCCAACTTGAAGAATAAGCGGGTCTTCGAATTTTTGGAGCCAATTTAATTCAATTGTCGATCGTTCATCGAATCGTTACTAAGATCCAATATCACATTCAAATGTGATAATATTTTAAATAATGACAATCAATAATAACAACTCCAAAATTTCAGCACCATCTTTTCATTTCAATTGCTATTCAAATCGGTTCAAATTAGGGATGTCAAAAGTTGACACGATCCGAAAATCTGAATTGAATATGACACAAAATTTTTAGGTCAACCCATTTTAAGAACGGGTGGGATTCAAATCCCAATTTTAGACCCTTTTCAAATTTCGGGTCGGATTCGGGTCAACCCGAAAACCCTGTTTTGACCCAGAAAATCGGGTTCGACTGATTAGAAAGTCTTGCTCAAAGACGTGTGCGCAGAGTTCTAAACCACCCAAAAATCACAGCTGAAGTTGCGTTCTTAGAAGAAGAAATCATCGTTGCCCGGCTTCTCTTGAACCGATGAAAGATCTGGTGATGGTCTCCACAGGCTAGACTTACGACAAGTCTTCTATTCTCCGATGTCCGGGAACAAGACTTGCCCTGTAACCGGATAGGTGCTCTCAAGTGCCGATCTCATCCTCAATTCCATCATTCGAAAGCTGATCAGCTTTTACTGCCATGAAAATACCATTTTGACTGCTCAACAGTGTAAGGTGCAGAAGAGGGATTTATCAAAGACACTCTCCCTGCTCCTTTGGCGGCGGTTGGAGCCATTAGGATGGTCACCACTGTCATTATAGGAAAATTAGTCGCCGGAGAGTCGAAGAAGAAGAATATGGCTTCTTACGAGTAAGAATGCTCCAAAATCGAATATTTTTTAACAAAATCTCCTTGGTCGAGGCTGACACGATCAGTTGGTTACTTCTTCGCTCTCGTGTAGTAAGATGCACAATTATGCGTTATTGGGCGACAACGGGTTGGTAGGCCGTGCCTGGTTGATCCGGGTCTGAAGTAGATCGTGTTCGTGTCCGAGAAAAAGACTTTTAAAAAACATGGGTTCGATTTTAATCGGGTCAACTAGTGTCAGGTGAGTTTCGAGTTAGATCTAAATTTGACCCGTGACCCGATTTTGACAAACATTTTCATTTTAAGGGTTGAGCAATTAAAAAAAAATCAATCAATTCATATTCTTAAATGCAATTTTTTGATTGTGTTGAGTTGTTTGATCATTGATGATTGATTCAACCATCTAATTTGATCCAATTTGCATGACTAGAAATCTCACTCATAATTTCAAAAAAAAATCTTAATATATTTAATAATCTCTAATACTTCTTATTGCATAATATAAATTAAGTATTATAAGCAAACATTTTCTATTAAGATAATCTAATGAAAAATCATTAGGACAAACTGAAAATTCTTAAATTTATTTTAAGATAAGTATTATATACTATTTATTGATTTAGAAAAAGCATATGATAAAGTTCCAAGAGAAGTGCTATGGAGAGTTCTTGAAAAGAAAGGAGTCATTAATGCTTATATTCAAATCATTAAAGATATGTATGCATGAGCTATTACTTGTGTTAAAACACAAGGTGGATTGACCAAGTATTTCCTTATTTCGGTTGGGTTACATCAAGGATCAGCCTTAAGCCCATATCTTTTTGCTTTAGTCATGGATGTTCTCACTAGACATTTGCAAGAGGATATACCTTGGTGTATGCTTTTTGCTGATGATATTCTTCTTGTTGATAAGACAAGAGAGGGAGTTGAAGGTAAACTTGAATTATGGAGGTCAACATTAGAAACTAAAGGTTTTCGCTTGAGTAGATCTAAAACGAAATATATGGAGTGTAATTTTAGTAGTAATAGACCTACTGAAGGGATTGTGACTTTGGGCGATCAAGTCATTAATAAGAGTACACGTTTTAGATATCTTGGATCAATTGTTCAAAGTGATGGTGAAATAGATGGGGATATTATCAACAGAATTCAAGTTGGATGGTTGAAGTGGAGGAATGCATCGGGCTTGTTATGTGATAGAAATGTACCCCTCAAACTTAAGGGAAAATTCTATAAGATGGTAATGAGGCCTGCAATGCTTTATGGTGCCGAATGTTGGCCATTAAAAGAGAAGCATAATACTAAGTTAAGTGTGGCAGAGATGAGAATGCTCAGGTGGATGAGTGGCTTTACCCTTAGAGATAGGATACGAAATGAGCATATACGTGAAAAGGTTGGAGTAGCTCCAGTAGAAGATAAAATTAGAGAGAGTCGCCTTAGATGGTTTGGTCACATAAAACGACGGCCTTTCGATGACCCGGTTAGGAGAGTAGAGGTATTAGATTTGACTTATGTTAAGAAAGGTAGGGGTAGACCTAAAAAGACTTGGTTAGAAAATATTAGGAATGACCTTTCTTTATTAGATTTAAACGAGAATTTGACTTTTAATAGGACACAATGGAGAAAAAGGATTCATGTAGCCGACCCCACGTAGTGGGATAAAGGCTTGATGTTGTTGTTGTTGTTGTATAATCTTATTGATGTTTATGCTCATTAGAAGCAATAAGCAATTATTTGAGAAAGTTTATTTGATTTCATTTAGTTGGTTTATTTTATTTTAGTTTGCTACTTCTTTAATTGCAATTAGAGCATGCTTATAATGTTGGCCTTATGAAATTGTATTTATTTCTTAATGATCATTATGCCCATATGATTGTTTTGAGAATAGGTTGTCTTAGCTATTGGATACCTTAAAGATCAACCCTTATGTTCAATTGAAGGTTACCTACAGTTCTTATTGGGTTGTTATGTAACATTAATGGTTCAATTCATTTGATTCGAATGATTTCAATCTTGGTAGATTGATGCATAATTGTAGGGCCTCTCTTTATCACCAAGATTGTAATGGTTCAATTCATTTGAGTTGAAAAACAAAAACGAAAAGAAAAGAAAATTATTATCTACAGCACTCAGCCACCCATATTAAATTATTGATGATAACCCATCATAGAGAAAAAACTTCCAACCACATAATGAAAAAAAAAAATTTACATACATACCACTTTATTTCATGTTATTTACATATCTAACATCCAAAATATTAATATTACATGCCTACCATCCTTATAAAATTTTAATATCAAATATATCACTCATATAACTCATTCATATCATTTATACCATCATATAAATTTTAATATTTCATTCTATGCATCTAAATTTGTTCTAAGAGTGGTAGATATGAAATATTAATGTTTTAGGTATTAGATATGTAAATAGCATGAAAAAAGTGGTATATATATATATGTAAATCCCAAAAAAAAAAAAGTTTTACCTGCCAATGTAGCCCGGGCCCACTCTATAGGTTCGATTAGCTAGAAGACTACCATTCGAACATTTAAGAAAAGAAATATGTGGCTCACCAGGTAGCCGTAACTTTAATCAATATTTCAATAATTATTGAGCAAGAAAAGACTGTAATCAGTCCTATTGGTCCATTGGCTAATGGTGTGTTCGTCCTGTTATGGCTTCAATCATCGGATTCCATCGATGAACTTTCTTCATGCTTATAAATGGTATTCAGACCACTGTATCCTCGCTTGCAATCTGTTATAGAGGACTAATATTGCTCAGTTATTTTCAACGTTATTCTTATTTAAGAAAAGAAATGTGGTACAACTTTGGGTGCAACTGAGTCAATTCAGCTCGGGAGCTGACGATTCGAGTTTAGCTCAAATACGGAGGTCAACGACATACGGAGGTTGGGAGGGAGATGATGGAGCTTCATAAGACAGAGGTCGACGCTGCTGCTTGGGACGACGAAGGTGGTGCTTGGGACGACGAAGGTCGACGCTACTAGCCTACTCGGGAGGAGCTTGACGAGCCTCTTAATGTGAAATGAGTCGAGCTCAAGCTCAAGCTCGGTATTTGACAGCCATGCTCGACTCAAATGCCCCTTAGCTCGAGCTCGACTCGACTCGACTCGTTTGCACCCCTTGGTACAACAACGATTGGGCGGTGGTCCAAGGCATTTGATTCTCATGTGGAGCTTTGAGATAGTTGTTTTAAAAGTCAAGTCATGCATAAAATGATGATCTATTTATTAATTTTTGAGAGCAACATGCTGGTAAATATTGAGAAAATAAAAAAACACTTCATCGAAGGGATGATATTGATTTCGTTCATCATACAATTTTTGATCAAAATTTTGACGTCTTTAATGTTGTTGGAATTAAGCTATCATAGGCTCATTGGGCTCATCATTTCGAGCCGATTGAATTGATTATAACCATGTCAAGTTTTAAAATCATTTGTGTTATATCTGAATAGGATTTGTCCAGTCCAAACGAGACCGAGTGAGTAAATAGCCAAACTCCTTCTTCCCTTCATCATGCACGCAAGCACTTGAGCGGACCTTCGCCTCTTTTGCACGCGAGCAACCTAAGCATCTCCCAGTCGCGATTCCCTCACTCTAATCGTACAAATAACGAGATTTCTCTGCCTTTTTGAAATCTTCCCACTCTTGCCAATCTACCTCTATCAATTAAACGCCATAGGCAACTTAGGGAATCATTTTTTACTTTCTTTTTTCTCCCTTGTATCTGCCGTCAAGCCTCCTTATTCGTTTCTTTCTCTCCACAACAGCCATCAAAGTTACTTCTCCCCTCCTTTCTCTCTTCATCGAGGGAAGGCTTTTCTTATTATTTTCCTCTTTCTCTTGAATCAAGTTTGATTCTTTCTTTCAGTAAGTGATTATTGATACATCACAAAAATTCGTCTTGATCATGCAAGAATATTGATGCATATTCAAGTTGGAAACTTTGAAAATTAAATTCAGGACAATATGAACTCCAATTTCAACGAACTTATAGTCAAACTGAATGCCTTGATGAGAAGAACCCAACGACACCAAAATCGGTCAAATATGAGCCCAAATGTGTCCAAATCGAGGGTTCAAATCTTAATTGGAAGCTTCAAAGCTTAAATTGGATTATCAAATGATATATAAATATGGAATGCTTATAGACAAGTCGAGCAGCTAGGTGAGATAAATCCAACGAGCCCAAGATTGTTGAATTCTGCCTAAGTGCTCCAGATCTTCTCCATATTTACAGGACATGCCACTCTTAAAAATCTATAAAAATACCTCCACTCTTTACATGATGGGGGGACTTTTGGTTGGATATTGGAGAGAGCTATGAGGCATCAAGAACTCCAACACCACAGCCGACAAACCTCCATCGACCATTGCTTGACTGCCGATCGTCGCCGGACTTCCACCTGATCATTGTCGACCTTCGCTAGGCCCCCGAACACTACCATACTTTGACCCAATCATCGTTGGACCACCATCAGACTACCTCATGTCCGCTGACCACCATCGGACTTCCACCCGATTGTCAATTGCTGCTGGATGCTTACCACTGGCGCCACTTGCCAACTAAGATACCTCAGACTACTGTCACCCGTCAATTAAGATCCGTTTGACCACCATCTCCCGCCGACTACTGTCCTTCTAGCCACTATTTTCCCGTTGATTACAGTCTCTCTAGCCAACATTACCCGTCGATTATGGTCCCTATGACCAATATTGCCTACCGACTACGATTCCTTCGACCACCATTGTGTGTCGGTTACAGTCACTTTGGCCACTTACTAGGGTCTTTCTTACCACTATCACTCACTGACTACGACCCCTGTAACCACCGCCACTTGCAGAATGTGGTCCCTATGACAAACCGTTGCCCACCAACTACGATCCCTCCGACCAATGCCGCTTGCTAACTATGGTCCCTGTAACTTCTGCCACCTGTCGACCATGGTCCCTCGGACCACCATCGCCCATCGTCTACGGTCCTTCTAACTTCCGTCGCCTACTGGCTATGGTGTGTCTGACCACTGTTGCCAATCAACTGTGGTGTCATATATAATGCCTATTGGTTATTCATAAAAGCATTTATCATGTATGATTATATATATGTCGGTAGAACCCTATTAGTTTTTGGATAGTCGGGGTCGATAGGCCTCCAGAGTGACGACTCCATAGAAAATCATTGAATTTCTTTGGGTTGATATTTACCTTATATGTGATGGGTATATGATAAACGGATAATAATTATATATGCAATAAAATATGAGTGAGTGTGAATGGGAAACAATATATGACTTACATGTCATTGTGAGGTACAAGGACAACCAGTGTGTTGCACTTATAAACAATATAATAATTTGTCATCAATAACTAATTGACATATTTACATGTATGCTAGAATACATTGTAGAAAATATAGCATATCTAATGGCGGTTTTTGATGTATATATATATATATATATATATTCTGTTGTATCACTTGTATATGCATGTTTTCTTTTTGAATACAAAATAGGTCTTCCTATCATGTATAGTCGAGGTGTACCGTCTTCCGGATCGACTCGGGGTGTGATTTGATCCTCCAATTAACTACCCAAAAAATTTCACTATGCTTCATGCTCTTGATATATGTTTAATTATTTTTTTGTCATTTTGTTTTTCCCAACTAGTCGATTGATCTAATTATAGTTTTATTGAAATCCAAATTTGAGTGATCTTGAAATTAATTTAAATATGCATCAACATTTGAATATGAAATTGATTATTTATCATGTATGATATCTATTTTAAGAGAAGTATAATTACTACATGCCAAAAAATGGTGGTGATCGTTGATGGCGATAACTGGTGGTGGTCATTAGTAGTAATAGCCAAAAAATGCTAATAGCTCTTTAGTTTTCTTTACTATTGGACCTCCTCCTTCATGTAGAAAATGAGATTCTATTTTTAGATTTTGAGATCAATATTTTTATTATTTGAACCAAAATTCAAAATACTCAATCATAAAATTCATATCAATTCTCTTGATCACAAAGTTTTTTTTTTTTGGCATTTTAATGCCTTAATGTTGTCTGAATTTAACGATCTTGGGCTTGCAAGATTTATCTCGTTAAGCCGTTTGACTCTATTATAAGCATGTCATATTTGAAATTTAGATGATCATGCTTTTAATTTTAAGATTATCTAAAAAATCATACAAATCATGACTTTTTTAAAGTTATATCAATAATATTAAAAGAATACTTTCCCATGAAAAAATAATATTATTATTTCCATCTCCAACAGGCTGCATTACTGAGTCGCAAAAAAATGCTAAATACATTTTCCTATTAAAAAATAAAGGAACGGTCTTATTTTTCTCCTTGCGAAAAACGGCAGGGGTATATGACTGACCGAATACTTGCCTCGCCAGTTGCCACCTATCAATACAGAGCGAGAGAGGCAGAGAGCTGTCGAGATCACAGGCCTCTCGTCGTTCTCTTTAAACACCAAGCTTCTTCCCCTCTCATTGGCATCCTCTGGCTCACATTGAGTTCCGTTCCCAGGTTTGTTTTCTAAACCTCATTCGGCCAAGTTCCTCTTTTTTTTTTTTCTGTTTTGCTTGGCAAGCTCTACTATTTTTCTTCCTTGTCGGCCATTGGGACCTTTACCTAGTATTTTCTTTTCTTTCCTTGACAAAAAGATAGATCTGAAAAAGATGGAGGTTTTACTGTTCGTAAACCTTTAGGTCTTTTCCTTGCACTCTTTTGCTTTAGCTCGGCATCTCTTTCATAGATTTTGTGTTCAGGTCCAGCTAGCTTGACATCTGGTGCCATTTTTATTGTGCTTGAGCAATTTTTTTAAAAACTCTAGGAATATTTGTGCCATTAAGCTTTGTACCAAACACAAAAGCTACAACCATTAGGGTTTGGGTATAGCTGAACAACTTCTTAAGCATTTGGTCAAGATTTTCTCTGTATTGCTCTGCATAGATACTGACACAACTCTAATAATGTAAAGTAAAGACGCTACATAGAGCATAAAATAACAAGTGAGCTAGCTGTCCCAAAAAGCATTCGTTGAGCTCCTAGTCTTTTTTTCAGATTCAAACCTCTGACTTCTTGGTCCAACTCAAAATGAGGTTAGTTTGCTTTTCCTTCTCACTCTTGGCTCGCATTTAAGTTACTAGTTTCAAAAATTTCCAGACCTGCAAATTCCATTAATGTAGAGAGAGTTGGTGGAAAGATAATCAAATAGTTGCTGTTGGAATTTCTTTTGTATCATTCATTTTAAAATTTCATATGTTTATATTAATGAAATTGCATTCCTTTTTTACACAATGACTTCAGTCATAGAATTGTTTTAATTTGCTCAGATACTTATAGTTGGTTAGTCTGTAAAAACTTGTAGGAATAAAGGAAATTTGATCACCAGAGAGAAACAAGGAAGATTGTGAGGGAAATGGCTCTGACCACTGTGTTTGTAATCAGTAGCATACTTACCATATGCATCTCTCAAATTACAGCTCAATCCCCGCCATCGCCGCTGCTCCCTCCCTCCCCCTCTCCTGCCCCAGCTCCAGCTCCTAACCATGTGAATCTCACTAATCTCCTCTCTTTCGCCGGCCCCTTCCATACTTTCCTCAATCTCCTCATTCAAACCAATGTCATACAAACCTTTCAAAACCAAGCCAACAACTCTGATCAAGGCATCACCATCTTTGTCCCAAATGACTCAGCCTTCTCCAAACTCGAAAAGCCTTCTCTCTCAAACCTCACCAAGAAACAGCTTAAGTCTCTTCTCCTCTACCATGCATTCCCAAAATTCTATTCCCTCTCAGACTTCAATAACCTGAGTACCCATAACCCGGTGAGCACATTTGCAGGTCGGCAATACACTCTGAACATTACAGATACAAATGGGCTTATCCATGTCGGTTCGGACTGGTCCAACCCCAAGATCAGCAGCAGTGTCTACTCTACTGATCCTGCTGCTGTTTACGAAGTGAATAGCGTTCTTCTTCCGAAGGCCATTGTTACTACAGCTCCAGCTCTCACACCAGCTCCAGCTCCAGCTCCTGATCTCACCCCATCTTCGGACTTGTCACCAGCAGGCCAAAAGGGAAGCGGAGCTGCTCCAAAATCCTCAGAATCAGGAAACACTAATTCTTCTTCGCGTAATATTGCTGCAGGTGCGGTGGTCCGTTTGTTTGCAGTAGTGTTGGGTGCCATTTTGCTTTGAGCTTTAGTTTCATGGAATATATATTTTGGTAGGAAATAGCTTAGTTGATGGAAGTGAGGGTTTTGTATGTTGAATATGATGAAGCTTATGTTAGTTTCTTTCTTCTTTTTAACATTGGAATCGCATGGAGAAGCACTCTTGTTAAATGGCTTTTACATGTTGGACTTCTAGTTCCTTATATTATGTGGATTTCAAAGCTTGATCTCTGGTTAAGGTATCATGCATGCTTCAGTTTTAGTAATTCAAAGCAGCCATGTGTCAGTGGAAATAAAATCTCTTCTTAGTCAAAGGATAAAAGGCCTGAGAGATCCAAAGAATTTTACACAACTGAAATGATTAAGAATTTATTCAAAGAAGGCCACCCGCTGAGGAAACAGGAGTTGAGTTGCTTGAGAAAGGTGAAACAATTTCTCAATATAGATGAGTATTCTGTGCAGAATCCGGATAGAAAAAATCATCCGAATATGTAGTTGTACATATTTTGTACTTATTTATATACAATATGTATCAAATTAGTATACATAATGTGTATACTTACAATTCGGACGATTTTTTCCGGGCAGACTCCGCACAGAATAATTTTTGTATATATACACATCAACGCAGATTTACCACTTGGAGATGAAAATTTTTCTTTCCATAGGGTGAGATCCAACTTGATAGCTCGACACAAATCTAAACCTAAAAATTTGTGTATGGTTAGCCCATTTAATAAGTGAGTCCAATTTACATCGTCCTGATAATGGCCCATTTAATTGTGTTTTATCTTGAATTCTTTGCTTATACTTTTGATCAATTGACTTAAAACTCTATAGTTGATATGTTTTTTTTTTAATTGAAATGGGCAGTTGCGGAGCCAGAAAATATATCTAGGGGGGGCCTAAATTTTTTAAGATTATCATGTAATGGTATGATATAATAATATCTATTTTAAAGGAAATATTTGATATTCTGCCAAGTGATTTAATTCATTAGGCGAGCTTTGCTAGTTCCTTAAAAATTAAATAATATTAATTGTTTTGATCAAACTAGTGAGAGAGTAAATTATATATATGAGATCTATGATCAAATATATCTTGAGTTGTCTAGTTCCAAAAAAAAAAAAACTCTTAATTAATGATTCATCTTGGGCATTCCATATTAGATAATCTTTGGTAGACGCTTTCTAATATATTTGAACTTTGACACCACGAGATGTATAAGACTATTTAGAGACATTTGATTTTATTTGATGATATATTCTTATTTTGCTTAAAAGAAAAACATATTGTAAGCTCATCAAATAGTCATTTAGATTATCTTAACAAAATAGAATGGGTCAAATAACTAATTTACTAAATCCTACCAAACTAAGCCTAAGGAGCAGTTTTTTTTTTTTGACCCACGCTATCTGCTTTTTTGTCGATGCTTCTGGGGCATTGTTAGGGCTAAGGCCACATCATGCCGTTAGTTTTTCACGTTTGGTGTCCCGCCGCCCATCGTCGACCGATTGGTGCTGAGTGGAGTTCTCCTCTTGTTCTTCTTTTTTATTGTCATTTCATCTTGGCCCGATTCATCCACCTCCGCTTGCCCGAATGGAAGTGAATTGGTGGGTCGACCCTGGTTTTTTGGAAGGGCCGACCAAATCTCACTCGTTCTTTGATGCTTTATTTGGTTATTCTTCTTCTTATGTCTATTTCCCCGACCTTAAAACTACTACATGTCGTGATTTGCCTTCTTTATGGATATCAGATGACAAGATTTGTGCACTTGCCGAGCAGCTTAAATATGCTTTAGTTTGTTTTTCCTCTCTTGCCGTCCTAGTCTCGATACTTTTCAAGGATTTTTTTTTCAACCTTGGAGAGTTCTCGGTTACTGTGTTGGATCAATCTCACGCTTTGATTAAGTTGGTGAATGATCTTGATTATAGTAGATTTTTTTGTCATAGATCTTATAGGTTTATAATTGTTACATGAAATTGGCTAAATGGTCACATTTTCTTGATATTGGTGTTAAATTGGCCAAATGGAATTCCCTTTCTTTTTGTGATAAATGTAAATGTTTAGGGCATTCGATCGATTCTTGTTGCCCTATTCATGCTTTTGTCCCGATGTCCAGCAATGCAATTATTTCAAATCCTATTAAAGCTAATGTTCAGTCTGAATTGAATGCTCATGGTGTTGTGAAAATTATGGATAATGTTACTTATACTTTGACTATTTTGCCGATCAAAGCTTTGTGGTTAATGAGAGTAAAAGCTCTCATTTGGTTATTGAGGTGAATGTGGATACAAATTATGTTGATTTAATTGATGGGGGTGATGACTCGTCAACTGCTGCTTTGTCTATGGTTTTATCCTGTTGCAATAGGGAGGATTTTGTGGGTCCTAACCCTTAGCATATCATTGTGGGCACCAACCCTTGCTTAGTTAACCTAATTGCTTCTCAATCCCCTAGTTCTATTGCTGGAGGTGGTAAGGATAATGACTCTGAATTTTCTCCTTTGGGCTTGTGGCTGCTTGCTTGGGTAGTTTGGTTTCAAACTCACCAGTAGTGAATGAGGGGTTGAATGACGAAGATTTGCCTATTAATGATAATGTTGTTGAAGTTGATGGACTTAATGTTAATTTGATGGCCTCTATACCCTTCTCGTTGATATTCCTATTTCTCTTATTGATAATGATGATTTGTAAGCTCAATTAGTTGTCAACTCGAAGATGAGTGTGGTGGTTCAAGGTGACTAGCTCCATGAGTGTGATCGGACTTTAATTGGGATGATGGGGTTGAGACGAATGTGACATTAATGTATTCTAGGGAAGCCGGTGAATTAAAGGTGATTTAGATAGTTGAGGATGGATTTTAAAAAAAAAAAGTTTGTACAAAAGAAATTATAAAAAAAAAAACTTGGGTTTTCTTTTCTTCCTTGATTGTTTCCTTTTATCTTGGCATGCTCGTTGTGCTCTCAGGTGCGCCGAAATTTATTTGGTTGCTGATCCTTGTGGGGTCTTGTTTTGCTTCTTTGGGGTTTGTTGGTTGTCTTTGCTCATATGTTGATTGACTTCCTCTTGGATGCTTCTGTGGTGAACTTTGGTTATTCTATGGTGACCTTCGGCGAATTCTTTTAGGATGATTTTGTTTCTTTGCTTTCTTGTAGGTGCTCATTCATTGTCTTTTACTGCAGGTGTGGTTTTTGTGTTCGTCGCTGTTGCTAGCTGCTACTGCTACCCGTTTTGTTCTTCGGTTTTTTTTTTTCTTTTGATTTATTTTTTTATTGTAATAGTTCTGATCCTTCAGCTCTTAGATTTGATTCAAATGTTGTATTTTTAGTGAGATTGTGGATCTTTTAAGGACTTATAACTCCTTTTTTATTGAACGTGTAGGCCCGTATGTGTAGGTTTCCTCAAAAAATAAATAAAAAATTATAGTGGTATGATTTAATACACATACATTCACTCTAATGAGGGGGATAACTACTGCGTCATTCTCACCTAAAAAAATATAAAGATTATTATAAAATTTGAGGATAATAAGATCATATTTGTGTTCACATTTATTATTAATTCGAACATTATATCAATCTGAATCATTTAATATTAATTCTTTGAGCTTGAACTCGAGTAATTAATCAAGTTCAAGCTCAAATCAAAAGTAACATGAGCTCTGCTCGACTCATTTGCATCACTAATCTGATTAAAAAAATCTTTTTGATACATTGAATGCTAAATAAGGATACTTTTCAAAGGCAACGTTGCTTATATGCCAAATAAACAAGCTAATAGTCAATTTTGTTTATCGTTGTCATTTTTTTTTTAAATTTTGATATAAAATATAAATGAATTGTTTTCATGATCTTAATTTACTTATAAATAAAGATATAAATATTACTATTTATCATAAAATAAACATTTTTATGATCAGAAGTCAGAAGTATGACAAGTAGGAGTAGGTTAATCCGAAGTTATCCACTCAGTAAAATAATCTTTATTTTCATAAGTTTGATATTATTAATAAAGAAAGTAATTAAAGTGACTTAATTTTATCGGAATTATAAAGTATTTGTTTTGCATTTAAGTGCCTTAATTTTATCAGAATTAAGCAATTTTGTGTTCTTTGGATACTTTTTGTTGAGACGCTCTATTTGATTATAAGAATTGAAAAATTGGATATCATTTGGACTCCCAATTAATATTTCAAAGTTTTTAACTATACTAGGCTCTTGACCTAGGCTTATTTGGACTTAGATCGGATCATTTTAGGAATCGTTGGGTTTGTCCCTTTGAGCCGATTACTTTGAGTGTATGTTTATTGAAATTGAAGTCGGGATGAACCTAAATTTAATTCTAGAAACTTCCAATTTAAATATACATCTAGATTTTTCCCTGACCAAACTTTTTATTTTTATTTTTATTTTTTGGACATTTAGGCCAATTAAGACAAACTCAGACATGCATCATATACGTAAGTCTCGAATCCAAGACCTCTTGGTTGGTAGCCAAAGCTCCCAACCAACAGATCAAGATGAATTGCGTCATTTTTTTTAACACAATAAATAACAAATAATACATCATTATATAATCATTTAGCAATAATAATTTAAGATTTACAATTGATTCGTGCAATAAAATAGGTATGAAGGTGGTGGGCACTTGGCCTTAAAATTAAATCAATTTTAGTGCCTAATTACACACATGCTACACCTACATTGCACATCATCCTTCTTTCCTTTTAAAGACCTTTTACACGAAAAAATATTCTGCATGTGCGGACGTCGGACTGTGTCCGGAGACCAATCAGAATGCACCACATCACTTTTTTGCTCAGTACCGGTGCTCGGTACCCTTGTGTATCAAGTGATGTGACACATTCTAGTTGGTTTTCGGACCATCCCGTGTTCGCACAGAATAATTTCATGCATTGCCTAATTTTAATGCCTACGTTATCACTCATAGGCTTCACAAGTAATTATTTTCATGTCATCTGAAATATCTTTGGAGTTTTCTTTTCTAATTGAATATATATTTTTTAGCCTATGCAGCTAATCATCTTGCGAATAAAAGTTTATATATAATGAATAATAACTGATAACATCAAACTTTCTATATTTATACATTGACATTACCATTAAGTCGACTATCATTGGCATGTAGTTTATATTGACTAATGGGTGAACGATCATGCTTTGGAATTTTTATTGCGTCCTCTCACCGTCAAAAAATTCGGTTTTTGTTCGGTATTGTTAGGTATTATTTGATAATTACGAGGAATATCATCATGTGAAGACCAATACCGAGTTATACCGAGCTATACCGAGCAATACAAAAAAATACCGAGTTTTTTCTAGGAAAAACTAGGTAATTTTTTGTATTGCTTTGTATTGCTCGGTATAGCTCGATATAACTCGGTATTGGTCTTCACATGATGATATTCCTCGTTATTGTTTGGTATTGCTCGGTATTTGCTCGGTATTTCTCGTTTTTTAGCGCGAATTTTTAGCTCTGGGAGGACGTATCTCTACGTCAGGTGGGAGGACGCAATAAAAATTCCATGCTTTGAGCATTATTCAGGTGTTTCCCTGTTAAATCTATGATTTCTTTTGCTAAAATAATTTTTGTATTCCTTGTAATAATCGATCTATTATTTAATCATTTTTACATTATGTGCCTAAAAAATTTTAGAAAGATAATCATCAAATAAGAGCACACACTCTTTATAACATTATTGAAGTTATCATAAATGCCAATTATCATCAAGTTGTGTTAGTTTTTCATCATAGAAAATATGAGCTAGTTACTCAAAGGTAATTTCACTCTCATGATAAGATGTTATGGCTAGGTTCTTAATGTGTTTTATCAAAATGCATAAGAAATTCAACATTTTTTAAGCCTGGAAGTTAAGTGATACTCCTTGTAATAACTATTGATTTTGATCCCATAATGAGTGCAAGCTCTTTGGCGGCCTGCAAAAATAAAAATAAAAATTGACAAGCTATTTTAAGACCCAGTAAGAAAGCTGTTCCAAACGAAGCCTAATATTTTAACCATTCAATTCAAATGATTAAAACACTTTTTTAATCTAAATAATTTAAATAATAATAATTTAAATCATTTACAATGAATTGGATGAATTTATTTAATAATTATACCTCTCCAAAATCCGAACTCAAATATTTGAGAGACTATACAAAGAAACAATTTTGGCTTAGGATATCCTAACATAAAATTGACGCATTAATTTCATTTATATTTAAATACCATGAAATTATATAATTTTTATTTATAAAAAATACATGAATAATGAGAAATTTTATTATAAATTTGTTATAAAATAATAAAATATTAAATATATAACCAACAGAAAAACACAATATTTACATAAAAGATCAATACAAAATTCTCCTAATATTTTTTATAAAATCTATAACAAAATAATAAAAGATTAAATATAAATTATTATCTTTTAGCATTTCATTTTTCAAATCAGAAAATATAATTCATAATATATATTACTTATTAAAACTCATCCAAATAAAAGTCGGTCAGCATATTCTCATCCATTTTTGTTTTTAACAAATTTCTTCATACACAAAGCTTACGTAATCCTTCGAACCCGTATCTTAGCAAAGCTGCTAATAATACTTATCCTCCATAGAACAGAGAAGAAGAAGAAGAGGAAGAAGCAGAGGACGCAGAAAGCCGAGATGAGTCTCGTCATCACGGAAGCCGCCATCACCGGCTTCATCAACAACGCTCAAGTCTTCAAATCCTCTATCGAAAACCGATTCGCAAGCCTCGACGCCAACGGAGACGGCCTCATCTCCTTCATGGAGATGGCGAAGGAGCTGATGAGTTTGGGGATGTTGCATACTTGTTTCGATGTTGATGAAATCGGTTTAAGCCATCCCGAGCTCGTCGAGCTTCATCGCGATATTTTTTCCCGCTTTGACAGCGATGGGAGCCGCGCTGTGGATTTGGATGAGTTCGGGGAGGAGATGAAGGAAATGTTAATAGCGGTGGCGGATAGGATTGGGACGTCGAAGAACAGGAGTTGGATATACGCGAAGCTGTAGAGGTGATTGATAAGTTTCTGCTTTGTGTTTGTTTAGGTTTGTGTGGAATGATGCATCGATGATATTTGATTATATGCGTGTGATGAAATATGTAGTTGTAGTATCGGAACTGGAAAGTGTGGGAGAGACTATTGCTTGATATGTTAGTAGAAAATGAGGTTATTGGTGTCAGGAATTAGAACTATAGAATTAAAGATAGCTTAGAAAGCTCAAAGAAGAAGCACAGATTAATCTCGTGTTTTGAAGATTAAACTTTATTCTTTTGCATCCATGATATTGTGGATTACTGGATTTTACGGTGATCTTAAAGCTAGAAATCATTGATTTTGCTTTTAGAATGTTCAATAAAATGTGCTCCTGGATTGTTTTTTAAAATCAAGCAAGAAAACTAGCATAATTATCGGTGTTGTAGGGGTGGATCGGATCAAGAAAAAAAATTTAGGTGGGGGCATTAAAAGAAAAGTAGCATAATTATTGTTACTCTAATTCTCTTAAAATTCCCTTAATACATACTTAAAATAATCCTTAAATCATTCAATATAAGAGCTTTTTTATTAGTCAACATCAGGCCTTTATCCCACTACGTAAGGTCGGCTACATGAGTCCTTTTTTCTCCATTGTGTTCGGTTAAGAGTCAAATTCTCATTTAGATCTAATATAGAAAGGTCATTTCTAATATTTTCTAATCAAGTCTTTTTACTTTTTAGGTCTAACTCTACGTTTCTTAACATAGGCTAAATCTAATACATCTACTCTCCTAACCGGGTCATCGGAAGACCGCCGTTTTATATGACCAAACCATTTAAGGCGACATAAATGTTGAACATGAGTTACACGTAATTCAGTAAAAATAGTAATTTTGATTTATATTTTATAATTAACTGCAAATGCAGGAGAGGGAAGCCAGTGGAGTTTGTGGTAAAACTTGATTAGCAGACTTTCTCGGGAGATGTCTTAATTGTTTGAAATTGTAGCAAGAAGGATTTATTGTAAAATACAAAAGAAAATATAAGATGCGTGAACGGATGAATCTTATTGAACAGTGATGGTTCGTTGTGAATGACTCATCTTAGAGTCTTTTTGAAACACTGTCATTTGAACATTGATGATCATTTTCACTAGACTTTCTCTTCAAGGTTTTTTTTTTTGTCAAACGTGTGATCTCAATATGAACAAAATTAAACAAGCAACGCAAACATAGTCAAAGGTCGAGCTTTCATGGTAAGGCCGTTGCAAGGAATAGAATGGGCAGAAAACCACTCTCCTAAGGATAGAGGGTGTTTTTAAAATTTTTTGGTGTAGGATTTTGGGAATTTTTTTTTTTTTTCAGCATTCTTCGGGGCGGTAAAAAACATTAAAAAATTGTTTATTACATGAATTTTTAAGTAATTTGTCCCCCTCCAATTTTTTTTTTACTTTTTATTATAGGATTCTTTAGGTAATTGCCCCCCTAATAAAATTAAAATACTATAATATTTAAGCGATTACCTCCCTTACATAATTATATACATTGTGTAAAGGTGTTATTACAAGGGTTTTTAGGCAATTGCCCTCCTAAAAGTTTTAAAATACTATAATCTTTAAACAATTGCCCCTAGCATAATTAAACTTAAGTTCAACAATTTTTATTAATGTTTCGATTACTGTTATGTCAAATAGTGAATTGAAGTCTCAGGTGGCTAAATCTGTTAAAAATTCTGTTTTGGCAAAATGATTGGCTAATTTTGAGTGACTCTTCTTCGTTTGATGGGGGGAGGAAGAGGAATTTGGAGAATGTGAGGAGGTTGTGCATGTTAAGCTTGTTGACCCTAGTCATTCTAATGGTGTTTAATAAGCATAAAAATAAAGGTAAAAAGAAATAGGCTCTGCCTCTTTCCTATTTTCTCTTATGCGGTGGTTTTTGACGGCTTTGTGGACAATGATGAGGAAGCCCCCAGCTTACCCTCGCTAGCTCGGCTGATTGGCAGCCGAGGTGATTTGGACTTTTGCTTGGATTGCTTGGTGGTTTGGATTTTGTGGAGTTCTCACCTATGGATGGTCCGTGGCTAGTCACAAGGCTGGTGCAGGGGGCTTCCATTCCTGAGTCCGGTTATGTTTTATTTTACTCATTGTATTGCCTTGTATCTTGCTATATGTTTTGGGTTTTTTTTTTATGTTGTTGCAATGGCTAGGGGCCACGGACTGTAATCTTCTATTGTTTGAATAAATGATTTTATTAAAAAAAAAAACGAGAAATGCTTTAAGTGCTGAAATTATAGGCCAAAATATTTGCTTTTTTGCCAACCTTAAAAATGCTTACGGCCAATTCCATTGAGTGTTTTGGCAAAAAAATAATATATTTTTTCCTGATGCTTAGCTCAATTCTAAAGATATAGCTCTTCATTAATTCCTGAATGCTTCAGAAAGGAGAGGTTTCTTTTAACTCACCATAGGAAGTAAAAAATTAGAGAGGGGCGTTAGATGTGGTTTCTTCCTCTTTTTTTTTTGAAGAATGCCAAAGGCAGAAATAACAAACAAAAAAAAAGAAGCCTAAAACAATGAACTAAGTGATAGAACACCTATCACACTCCTCCTTGAGAATCTCAAGAAAGCAAGGAGGAACCTTAGGTCTAAAGTATCGCAGAAGAAGTCCCCATTTAAAGCTAAGTTAGCACAACAATCAGCTAACTTGTTACAACCCCTAAAAACGAATTTAAACAAAAGAAAACCAAAGTCTTTAAGAAAAGATAAGTCCTCAACACCTTCCTCATGAACTCCCACAGCAGCTTTCCTAGCCGAGAATTGAAGGTACTTCATTACATTGAAATTATCACCTTCAACTATTAAACATTTGGCCAACAACATCCAATCCTTTAAGATCTTCTTTATCGCCCAAAATGCAAGCAACTCCAGCAGTCCAACATCCCAATGAACACATTTGTAACCAAAAGCTGCCAAGAACCGTCCCTTACTGTCCCTAAAAATACCCGCAATAGCAGCTGAATTAGAAGGCAACAAAGCTGCATCTAAATTAACTTTAATCCATCCGGGAGGAGGAGGATGCCAATGGTTCAAAGACAGCCTAAGCTGATTAGCACCCCAGTGATCCGAATGAATATTAAAATTTAGAGAAATAGAATCCATACTAATTGCTTCAGAAACAATGTAACACAACCCCAATTCTTTGTCTCCATGTTTCCTCCGGTTTCTACTGCTCCAGATCAAAAAAATCAGATTACAGTAAAGGTTGCCTGAGAATATATTGCTCTTAGATAAAGCTTCCAATCCCTTTTTACAATCCACCACTGTTGAGAAATCAGGCATCACAAAGCCCCACTTGACTAGCATCTTCAAAGCTTTTTGAATAAAATCACATCCTGAAACCACATGATCCAGGTTTTCCACCCCTCTACAACCCCTTGGACAAGAATTATCTCCAGCCAACCTTCTATTCATTAAAAAATCATTAGTGGGAATAGCATTCTTCAAAAGGCGCCACCAAAAACAATCAACCTTGGGAGATAATAACAATTTCTTCAGCCAATTACCAATCGGAAAAGTATCACCATCCCTCCACCTATTATTTGAAATAATAGAAGCAATAGACTTCCCAGTGAATTTTTGAATCAATTCCATCTGATTCAGTGCGTGCTCTGGATAAATTTTAACTTGAACAATAGCCTCTATTAAGCTCGTACCAAACCACTTACGTAATTCAACCATGTTCCAATTCTCTTCAAAAATGAACACATCAAGAGACGGATAATCTTCATCCTTGACAGCTAAAAAAGTCGGCCACTTATCCAATGCTTTATCGAAAATCCACACATCTGTAAGAATATTGATAGAAGACCCAGTACCCACTTTCCATCTGACAACTGACAGCAGAGCTAAAAACCCATTAGAAACAACCTTGCAAGTGTTAGACTGATACCTGCTGTGAATGACATCTTTGAAATCATCATATTTCGCTTTCAGAGTTCTGTTTAAAAGAGAATTAGGAGAATTAATAAAGTTCCAGTAGAACTTAGCTCGGAGAGGACCAATAATAGATTCTGCTGAGTGAAGCCCACGGCCACCTAGCTCCTTTGGCTTACAAAGTTCCTCCCAAACCACATAATGTAATCCTCGATTACCTCCATGTTTGCTCCATAAAAAGTCCCTACACATCTTATCAATTGATCTCAAAACACTAATATGTACCGTCGAGTGTGAGGCAAAAAAAACAGGAATAGAAAAAATAACAGATCTTACTAAAACCAACTTTCCTGTCAACGACATATGCCTCTTCCCCCAAGTATTCAATTTGCTAGCTGTTTTTTCCAATAAAAACAGATAATCAGCCGCTTTTAACCTTTTGAGAGACATTTTAATACCCAAATACACCATTTCTTTAGCCTCCTTAAACTTGAGCACTCTCAAAATAACCTTTTTCTTAGCCTGGTTAACAGATTTCCCAAAGATTACACTAGATTTTTGGATATTCACCACCTGACCCGTCCAACTGCAGTAACTGGAAACAATCTTCCTGAATTTCTTAACAAGACTACCCTTAGCCTCAGAAAACATCAAAATATCATCAGCAAACATCAAATGACTGATTTTAGGTGCATTAGGAGCAGCTTTGATACCCAACTGATTTACAAAAAAACTGAAAGCATTTGATAATAACTGTGAACAAAGAAGAAAAAGGTAGGGAGAAAGTGGACAACCTTGCCTAAAAGGATGTGGTTTCTTCCTCAATGGAAGAATTGAGACTCAGAAATATTGGTGGTAACTTCGCTTTATACAACTAATTTATCTTTTGACAAAAAAGCTCTGGCTTTCAATTGTTGTTGTGTGTAAAGTATTATGAGTGATTTTTTCTGTAAAACAAGAGTGTTATTTGCCTTTACCGGCAAGTTTAGTTCATAGTTATAATTAATAAAATATGAAAAAACTACAAGCATTCTTTTAGTGAAATCTAAATTTAAGTTACTCATATTAAGGGGAATTAGCAAGTTCTCTTATATGATTCCATGACAAAGTGAAATGCTAAATATTTACAAGATTACACTGCTTCAATCTGTACTAATGCTCACAAATACTCTGCATTTTTATGAATCTTGAGCAGGTCTCTTCACTGCTAGGAGGGGAAATATGAAAGCTTCGAGAATGCCCAACCCAACATCTTATGATAATAGCTGCATTCGGTTTCCTGTTCTATGATAATAAGTGCTGCAAAACAAAACTACCATGCATAGATTTTGACTTCATTTGGGAGTGCTTTTTAACTGCTTCTTAAACTAGTTTTCTAATACATCAATTTTAATTTTTTACTAAAAAGTGGCTTTAAAAAACAGTAAAAAGCCGTCCCAAATGAAGTCAGATCGGATACTTCTTATGTTTCTCTTTTTGTGAATACTGCTTCTCTAATGTACAGTATCTTATACATTTTCAGCTCTTCTATAAGGCTTGTAACTAGCTGTTTTAGATGGTATGCTAGAAACAAAATAAGGTCGCACTTTTATATGTGGTAATGGTTCATTTGTAAATCCACACGAATGTTCTTGTGATATGATAGTTTTCTATATTGGTTTGGACCTTAAATGAAATGATAAGATGGTTTTATAAAGCCAATAGTTCTCTTTTTCCCAATCTTTAGGGCTACAGTAGCAATCTGATTTTCAGAAATTTTTTCTTAACAAGTTCTGTTTAAGGTCATAATCTGATTTTCAGATTGTCATTGCGATTTTGAAGTAACAATTTTCCTCTGTTCCTCTGTGGCACTTCTCATCAATATTCCCTTCAAAATTTTCGAAAAATTTTATTCATTCTTAGTTCTGTTTCTCCTGTAAATTGCTCCGAACTAGCAATAAAGTTCATTTTCAAGAATATTCTATCTAGTTATCCAACCCATCTGCATTTCCTAAAGTGTTATTCAACTAAAAAATGTCAAAAGTGGGCTTTCTTATTACTTCTCAAAGCAGATTTTTAATACAAAATGATTAATTTTTATACTAAAAAGCTACATTAAGAAGCAGTAAGAAAATCATCCCAAAAGAAACTATAATCTTAAATTATCTTTACCTGCATATGCAAAAAGATCTGAACTGTAGATGGAAAACTCTTCAAGATTCAGTAGAGTAATGACCAAGTTCATAGAACTATTTCACTTTGTGCTACTAAATAGCTCTACCTTAATTGGTATGCTCACTAGTTCTTAGGGTAGAGATCACATATTTAAATTCAAAATAATGTCTTCTTTAAAACAAATATTCACTTGCTTTCTATGTGGAATTCATTCTATAGTTGGCCTTGTATCCTCTTAGTCTATCTTTGGCTTTGTGCCTATTTAATCATGTAGGGGTGTCAAAATCTGATCCGACTCGAAAAATTTCGAGTTCGGGTCAACCCGTTTGCTATACGGGTCAGATTCGGGTTCGAATTTCTGACCCGTTTGTAAAATCGGATCGGATTTTTATTGATCCGAAAACCCGAAACCCGACCCGTTTTGACAAACTGGTCAAAAGAGTTTGCTGTCACTAAAGCCAAAAAAAAGTTTTAATTTCTAAACCGTGATAAATTGCTAAGGGCTCGATTAGTTAAAAAATAATTAATATTGATTTGAGAAAAAAAATGCAACGAAGCCATAACTCTCATCGCCATCACGTCAGCCATCACTTAGGCCAGTTGTTTGCGTCGACTCAATCCAAACGTCAATCATTACGTCAAGAACTCAAGATCTTGACAGTTGCCCCTCGGCCCTCCCGCAGACCGCAATGGCGCAATTTGCTCTTCGCGGCTTGCTCCGCCTCTTCTTCACCGCAGTGAGCTCGCCTGCCTCTGTGCCTCGCCAAATCCGGCCCATCCGTAGACTGCAATCCGCCGTCTGAGCTCTCGCTGACGGCCTGACCGACAGCTTCCGGCCTTCCCGGACATACACGCGACGTCGCAACCCTCACGTCTCAATGGGTCAGGCTCGTTTTTTGAATACAAACGGGTTCTCGGGTCGGGTCAATCCCGTAACCTGCGCGTGTCGGGTCCGGGTTGAAAATCTCGACCTATTTAGCTAAACGGGTCAGGTTCGGGTCAACCCATTTAGTCTCCGGTCATCCCGGGTTGGACCCGAACCCGATTCATTAACCCGAATTGACACCCCTAGACTAATCTTGCACTTTACTTTTATTGAAAATTTACATTTGTGCCACTTAAAGTTTTATATATTTATATAACTAATGCTTAAACTTTTATATTTTTTATATAATATCTTGATTTTTTTATTTATATTAAATAAATATTAAACTTTAAATGTTAGAGAAGAAATTATATAGTAATTCATCAGAATGTAAATCTTTCTATTTTTAGTTAATAAATTTCTTTCTTTAGAAACGAACTAAACTTCTTTTCGTGCAACATTTTATTTTGAAGAAAATTTTGAGAATTTATGATACAACAAAAGAGTTTTGCTGCTTATTAAATTGACATCCCATTTAACCAAGTTGTACAAGGATAAATGAGAATTATTTTATAAACTGCTATATCACCCCCAACAACTTCCTAACTTGGTTGATTTGCTTGGAAGAAATTAGAAGAGTGGAAGAAGAGAGAGGAGAGAAAAAGATCTTTGGATTATATTTATTAGTCATTCATGTTACAGATTTAATTTTATTCATTGTAAGTGACTAGTCTATTATTTCTATTTTCAATTATGATTTTGATTTTTGCTGATAATTCTATAAAAATGCATTATCTATGGATTTAATAAGTTTTCACTATGCAAGTTTGAATATGTTATATATTTGATCACTATAAATGCTTTAATACGATTTCATTGCATTTTCAATGAAGTACTGAATTATATCAAATATATTATATAATAACTTCATATGATACCTTACTAATCCACGTGATTCATTGATTGGGATTTATAAGAAGATAGAGATTGATTGTGGGTTATAAGGAGTCGGGGCAACTAATTCATGTGATTCAAGGGGTTTTATAAGGAGTACATTAATTGAAAGTTATAAGGGGCGAATAATTAGGAGTCATAAGTGCATAAGCAAGATACTGTTAAGATACACTCATTGAATATATGAATATTGATACTAACACTGCTATGAACACTATATTGATATTCTAACTTACATTAATACTATTTACTGCTATTTGCACTATTTAATGTTATTGATCATGAAACTAATATTGTTACTTGTATTAGTATTATTGACTATTCTTTATATTGTGATTGTTGATGTTATGAATTGAGATGTGATGAATCATAGAATGATAAATTGATACATATAATCAATATAGATATTGATGCATAAATTTTTTTATATAATTATAGCATGTTGTTCTATTTTATCTTGTATTGCTTTCAACTGTAAGATTTAGTTACTTGCTGAGTTATGTGTTTATCACATGATTTTATATATTTTCAGAAAAAGGATAAAGATCTTATGATATGACGTTTCGGACAACATGCATAATTTTTTTACCTGCAGTTCTAGATAAAATACAATCATGTTTCTTTCTGTTATTTATTAGTAAGTTTTAATTAAATGATTAAAATGAAAGACAGATGTAATTCTATCAATATAAATTTTGGAGTGTGACAAAATGGTATTAGAGCAATTATTATTGGAAGAATTGAAATATAACTAGAGTTTATGAGCGGAATAAAAATGTGATTCTGATTTATAATTAATTGATTTGAGTTTTTTTAACATGCTTTCTCTCTCTCGCTCTCTCTCTCTCTCTCTCTCTCTCTCTCTCTCTCTCGGTCTGATATAGAAATGTCAATGATGATGTTTTAAAAAGGTGGGAGATTGTAATAACTCAAATTTGTGAAATAAGTTAATTTTAAAAACATGAAAATTTTTAAGTAGATCATTTTAATGCAGATCTGGTGAGCGTTGTGGCCGTCTCTCTCACTTTTCTTAGTCAGGAAGAAATTGAAAGAGGGAAAGAAGAGAGACGAGAGAAAGATCTTTGAATCATATTTTTCAGTCGTTCATGTTATAGATTTTGTTATATCCATTGTAAATGACTAATATTCTTTTACTTTTATTTTTAATAATTTTAATTTCTACGAATTTTATCTCTCATAAATTTATAAAAAATACATTATCTCCTGATTTCACAAGCTTTCACCTTGCAAATTTGAATATATTATATATATCTAATCATTCTGAAAGTTTTGATATAATTTTATTACATTTTTAATAAAATGCTGAATTATATCATATACATTATATAATAACTCCACGTGAGATCCTACTAATCCACATGATTTACTAATTGGGAGTAAAAAAGAGCTGGATATTGGTTAGGAGTTATAAGGAGTCAGGACGATTAATTCATGTGATTCAATGAGAGTTATAAGAGGTGACTGATTGAGAGTCATAAATGTAGGAGCAAGATATCCTTAAGATACACTCTTTGAATATCTGCATATTGATACCGACACTACTATGAACACTGTACTATTATTGTAATTGTCACTAATATTATTTTTTGTCATTAATACTATTTAACGTTATTGATCATGAAACTAATATTGTTACTGGCATTAGTATTTGTTGAATGTTGCTGATATTATGACTGATCATGTAATGAATTGAGATGTGATAAACTATAGAAGGATAAATTAATACAGATAATTAGTATATATATTGATGCATATATTTTTCTTATGATTTATAACATATTATTCTCTTTTATCTTATGATTTATTGACTATTCTTGATATTGTGACTGTTGATGTAATGAATTGAGATGTGATAAAATGATAAATTGATACAGATAATCAATATAGATATTAATGCATAAATTTTTTATATGATTTATAGCATGTTGTTCTATTTTATCTTGTATTGCTTTCAACTGTAAGATTTAGTTACTTGCTGAGTTATGTGCTTATTAAGTGATTTTATATATTTTCAGAAAAAAAGATAAAGATACTATGATATGATGTTTCAAACAACATGCATAATTTTTTTACCTGCAATTCTAGGCAAAATACAATCATGTTTCTTTCCGTTATTTATTGGTAAGTTCTAATTAAATGATTAAAATGAAAAACAGATGTAATTCTATCAATATAAATTTTGGAGGGTGACAAAATAGTATTAGAACAATTATTATTGGAAAAATTGAAATATAACTAAAGCTTATGAGCGGAATAAAAATGTGATTCTGATTTATAATTAGTTTATTTGAATTTTTTTAACATGCTC